CTCAACAGTAATCTGAACAAACCCAGAACGTGAGAGTGGGGATTCACACGGGTTGTGTGTTGAATCAGTAGATTTCGTGTCATAGGAGGGCTAACACGCAGGGGGGAGTGTGGTGCGTCTGGGTTTTACTCTAACTATCTCTATGTTGTAGTAGTCAGATTTTCTTGAATGAAAAGAACTGATTTTGAGTGATATCTGAGTGCGTCAGTAATTTCAAGTGGTATCAGAGCCCGGTCACTGGTCGTAGGATAATTTCCTCTCATATCGGTGCAGGTTAAGAGATGCACAATGCAGACATCCAAGGAATTTCAACCGCTAGTGAAGGTACCATTGTTGGATTCAACTATGGTTACTGGAAGGTGAAAGTCATGAATCTGATTAGAGGTCTTGATGAAGATGCGTGGAGGGCTGTAGAAGAAGGATGGAATTTTCCGAAAGTCATTGGAGATAATGGGACAGAAGTTATCAAGCCCAGTTATCAGTGGACCCTCACTGAGAAAAAGGCGTCAGCACTCAATGCAAAAGCTCTGACTATAATCTTCAACACTGTCGATTCAGATGAGTTTAAGCAAATTCAGGGGTGCAAAACTGCAAAAGAAGCATGGAACACGCTGGAGTTGATTCATGAAGGAAAAAAAAACGTGAAACGCACCAGAAGAGACATGTTAAAGGCGCAGTTCAATCAACTCAGAATGGAAGAGTATGAAACTGTCAAAGAATTCAGTGGTAAACTGAGTGCTATGGCGAATGAGGCAGGGGCACTTGGCACAACATACTCTGACAAAAAACTAGTGAAAAAACTCCTTGCGAGTTTACCCATCAGGTTCTTATCTCAGAAAACCTCTTTTCAGACTTTTTATGATACTGATACAGTTAGCTTCAAAGAAACCGTAGGGGTGTTCGCGGCACATGAATTGGAACTGAGTATGTATGAGACTCCGTCAGGAACATCTCGTAAATAGCCAGTAAACAGCCAGTTGCATTTCATGTTCCGGAATCTGAACCCAGAAATAAGCTTGAGGAAGACATGTCTCTAATTGTCAAAAAGATGAACAAGTTCTTCAAACGAAGACCTAGCACTGTACAACGAACAGAAGGAAAATCGAGTGGAAAGTGTATGGAGTGCAAAGGTTATGGACATTGGAAAACTGAATGTCCATCGATCATTAAAAGAGAAGCAATGATAAAAAACCTGAAAGAAGTACAATGTTATGAGTGCAAGAGTTTTGGACACACCAAGAATGAGTGCACAACCTTGGTGAAAGGGAAATCATTAATTAATCATGAAGATTCAGAATCAGAGTCGGAAGATGATAAGGAAGCCCTGAACAACAATGTGGCATTTATCGGAATAATCGATGAGAATGATGTTATGATGACAGAAGACCTGGAAGCTGATCTGAAGATTGATGAAGTTTATGATGACTTGATGAAGATGTATGACATCAACATGAAGCTTGTTAAGGAGAAGAATAGACTTGAGTCAGGACTCAAGGAAACTCAGAAGAAACTGGAGCAGCACATTGAAGAAACGACAAATGCAAAATGTTAACTTGAAGAGACAAATAAGAATCTGCATATGCTTGGAAATGGGACAAAGAAACTGGATTTCATTCTAAGTCAAGGAAGACAAAGCTCAAACCACACTGGGTTAGGGTACACTGGAGAGGCAAGCAAAACTGACAGGAAGTTTGTATCTGGAGGACAACTTTCTGATGAGTTACAACAATGCCCAAAGCTAGTTGAGGTACAACAATTTCCTCGAGAACTCCAAGAATCACAGAGGATATGCGATCCTCTTGGATTGAAACTCGGAGATGTTACAACTGTGGTAGACGTGAGAATATTCGTAGGAACTGCTATCTTTATCGCTTCAGGTCAGGTAAGTCTCATTATTCACTCACTGGTCAAGTCAGACAATGTTGGGTACGAAAGGATTTATTGCACTGTAATATTGCTCATACATCTCAACAGGTGAATACTAATGATCATTGGTATTTAGATAGTGGATGTCCTAGACAGGAAATCATGAGATTCTCTCAAACTTCGTTCAAAACACAAAAAGAGGAAGTGTAACCTTTGGCGATAGAAAAAAGGGAAAGATCTTAGGTAAGGGGACACTGAATGTCAGTGGACTTCCAAAACTGAAGGATGTGTATGTTGTACAAGGGTTGAGAGCAAATCTGATCAGCATTAGTTAATTGTGTGACGATGGGATGAATGTAAAGTTTACCAAAAATGCATGTTTTGTTTCTAATCAAATAAATGAGTGTATTCTCACAGGGAGAAAGACCTCAAATAATTGTTATACCTGGATGGATGAAAATATCAAGGAACACCAGTGCTTCAAAGCAACAGATATCGCTCGAGGTCTTTCAGAGTTATCTCAACATGCTAAGCAAGTCAGGGCTCAAGGAATCCGTACATCACAAATTTTGGAACAAATTAGACCAATCCAGATTGAGAACATCAGTAGAAAAAGGTACGTATATGTTTGCATTGATGATTTCTCAAAGTTTTCCCCCAGGAACGTTTGACGTCCGGCGAGATTGCACTGGCTCAGAAGTACATAAGCAAAAAGGAAAAAGGAGAGATTCACAAACAGAGTCAGAAGGATCAGACTTTGAAAGAGAAGTATAACATTGATGAGGCAAGACGTAGATGAGAAAGATCTGCAGGATGATGATGCACGTAACTCGTATTGATGAAACAAATTCTCTCAGATTGTGGTATTTATTCTGACTCTTTACTACTCATTAAGTACGGTCCCACTGAAAATCAATTGACAAACATATTTACTAAATCTCGTGAGATGAATATGTTTATGTGTTTACAAAGATTTGTTGGGATTTGTGAGTTATGAAAAATAGTTTTTTTCATTTAAATCGGTGAAAAATGTGTTTGATGAGGAAAAACTAGTCTGATTAAGAGAATGAATATGAGAGTCAAAAACACTTGCGAATCAATCAGATACTTCTCACGAGAGAAAAAAAGAAGAATAAAAGAAAAAAGAAAGAAAAGACTAACATTCTGACACTCCTCTGTCATGAGAAATGATGATATGAATGGATTGAAAAACAATGGCTCGGGTCTAAGTTGTGAAACAAGAGTTCTAAACGATGGTCTAAGGGCTGACGGTAAAAAAAGACCGAAATACTCCTCTGTAACGTTTAAAACGAGACAAGAGTATATCTCAAAGAGATAGTCTGGACTTAAATGGTAAGAACTACTTGTTGATTTCAACGTCCTAGAAGTCCAGAATGTTAGTTACAAAAGTTCTCCGTGTACTGAACAAGAGAAACTGATGTGAGATGTCTTTCATGATTAGTGAGTGTAGCTGACAGAAATATTCATAAATCTGGTCAGAATATTATTTGGATGGTTAGACTAACTCAAGACGTTGTGATCTGATTGTGTGTGAAATATTTCTCATATGATTTTAAATGATGTATGTTTTTACAATCTGTTCAAATCTGAGTGATTGAGTGGATGAGTTTGCAAAACTGATTGAAGTGGGAATCGGAAAATCAGAGTAGTAAATGTCTGGATATATACTCTAGAGTTTTTTGAATTTCATCTCATACACACAGGGAGAGATGGATCGAATACTTCAGACAAGTGAAGTACATCTCAAGTGAAATACATCTGATGTCAGGGGGAGATCATTATTCTAACGATTTGTTTTGGGTGTGAATGAGTTGAAAGTCAAAAAGGGGGAGAATGTTAAGGTTGTTATTGCAGGTAGATCTGAGAAGATTCTAAAGCTGATTTTGTGGAAGAGATAAAGATGGAATCTTGGAGATAGAGTTTGGCCAACAACCTTGGAGAAAAAGATAGAATCAAATCAACAAACAATTGGAGTTGAAGAGAAAGCTATATAAGAACGACAAAGAGGAAGAGAGGAGACACAGAGTTTAAAAGATTATCATTCAAAGAGTACAAGAGTTTTTGGTCTTTACGTTTTTATTTCTGGTGAGTGAGATCGTTCTGAGGGGGAGTTCTCAACAATAATCTGAACAAACCCAGAACGTGAGAGTGGGGATTCACACGGGTTGTGTGTTGAATCAGTAGATTTCGTGTCATAGGAGGGCTAACAGTCAGGGCGAGTGTGGTGCGTCTGGGTTTTACTGCAACTATCTCTATGTTGTAGTAGTCAGATTTCCTTGAATGAAAAGAACTGATTTTGAGTGATATCTGAGTGCGTCAGTAATTTCAGTTTCCGCCACCGTTTGACTTCAATCATATGCCGCCGCCGCTGCCTTTTCCATCACCACCTCCATTTGCCTATGAAAACATGCCACGATCGCCCTTTCCACCACCGCCGCCATTTGGCCATGGAAACATGCCGCCATCACCTCCTTTTCCGCCAAGAGGATTTCCACCATTCCCATTTTCGTTTGGTAATTGAGATCACCAAAAGAGACACTTGGGTCTATCTATTGGTGTAATGAAAATAGTTGTAGAACTGCGAGGATTCGTTACTTACTTTATGATTTCGATTGTTTGACTTGATATAACTGATGCTTTGGCTCTTCATATTTGGGTTCACTACTTCTGATTGTTAAACTGGAAACGTGTTTCTGACTATTTTGTAATCTTTTTGGTATATAATAGATTTTACAGTTAAAAAAAATAGTTGTAAGTTAACTGTCTATGTAATAAATAGATTACTAAAACCGGCGGACGTGGATGATCCTAAAGCTGAAATTAAGTGTGTGAGTTTATCAGTCCAGAAGTGGTTTTTGTGAGTTTGATGTCTAGAACTTATCCATATTCAAATCTAGACTACTGTCCGAAATGAATGCGAGTTTATATAAATTATTCTTCTAATAACCATAACTGATCACCATTACAAAAGATAAATAGAGCACAGAACACAAAACACCTATTGTACCAAAGCACTTATAATTAGATAGTAACTAGGTTTCCATGACCCAAAGTTCCGATAGACTTTCGGGAGGGTATTCACATGGACTTTCTCGATCCTCTTGAATATGTAGTCGAGTCAAAGTTCCGATAAACTTTCGGATTATTAAAAAAACTACGTTTTCATGTTTTTTTTCATCTGGTAGGAAAAAATTGTTTCACCTTTTTACATGTTAATCTTTAGTTTCACCTGTCGTCATGTTCTTGTTCTTCTCTCAATAGTGTTGGACCTAACAAAAGAGGGTTTTAACCACAAGCATAGCGACACCTTTCAAAGCTCCTAGGCGCTCATCACTCTCATCAGAGTCTTCATCAGATGTTTCAGAATCTTCAGAGGATTCGGAATCTTCCGAGCAAGTTCCAGCTATCATGAAGAACTTGTACACGACATCTCTATCTGGGTTTCGACCCCATGCATCTTCAAGATCACTCATCACTCGTTTCGTCAATAAATCTTTTCCTTTTCCCTTAGCCTTCACGATCAGTTGCCAAGACTTGAGATAATTCTTAAAACCTTCAAGCGAAAGCTTGCTATGAAGCTTGAGTGCATGTGAATTCCCCTCGGACCCGATACCGATGTTCCTAAAAGGAAAAGGCAAATTATTGTAACCTGCCAAGGCCATGTTCGTTCTATCGTTCCTGAAAGGGATTGTAGAGTCGGAAATGCGTCGGAAGACTTTGTCCACGGCCGACGAGATGGATATCTCGTTGAACACCCATACGGCGATAACACCGCCCGGTTTGCGCAGAACACGTCGGACGACATTGTAGAACTTTTCGAGGTTGAAGTAGTGAACTGCCTGTGCGGCGATCACCAGGTCGATCGAGTCATCTCCACCGACCAGATCCACCAGCTCATCCTCAGACATGTGTTCTGGGGTTAGACAGTACTTAACTCGCTGGTGGGGCGTGGCCCGTCTCAGCTGCTCTTTGCTAATATCGGTTGCAACCACTCTCTTGTAGTGTTCGGCCACCTAGAGTTAAAAAGATGGAATGTTATTTTGTCTAAAATTCTCCCAACAGTTTGTGAATAATAATCATTTTACAATATTTCACAACAAGTTTTTAGAAAATTGATATACTATAAATAAACTTTTGGTGAGAGTATGAGTTAATTATCACCCGTGTTCAGATTTTTTCTTTCATTGGATATTCACGGTTCACAAATTATATGGATTAAGAAAACTTGATTGATACCCTAAAAAATGTAACTATTTTTTTTAAATTTATTATGAGTCATGTACGCCTGAATCTTTAATGTTGATGCATGCATGAATATAGAGATGCACATACAACTGTATGATGAAAAGTTAATAACAAATGCTTCATCTATTGTGTAAGGAAATTAAATTAATGAGTGGATATATATACAAACCCCAATTGCGGCCTGGCCATTGCCAGTGCCAGCATCCCATGCACGTTCGTGCATGTCTGTTTTCTCCGCCAACATTTTGAACCAGGAGCGAGGGTAAGGTGGCCTAGCATCTCTATACGCACCTGCTTGCGCTTCAGACAAACTCGATAATCTTCCCATATCTTAATTTTCTTTGTTATGTTTGTTTCTTTTTTGCTTCATAAATATAGTTGAAGTGGAATATATATATATATATACATATATATATATATATATATATATATATATTGATATCCAAAGGTCTTTGAAATGAGAATGAGAATGATGCCACGGATATCCATTCCAATTTATTAACGGTATACTCTTGATAGTCCATTGGAAATATACCACGGATTAGCCGTTGGAAATATGCCACGTATACTACAGTTGCAAATTCATCAGAAATTTCCAACGGAAAAAACCCGTTATCATTCCGTCAAAAATTTCCACAGGTTTCAACGGATCCGAAATTCTAACGACGTTTTTTCAACGGATTAATCCGTTGGAAATCCGTTGGAAATACTAATTTCCAACGGATTTTTGTACATTTTCAACGTATTTACCCATTGGAAATGACCTGTTTTTTTTGTAGTGGATGTCAAAAAGGTCTTTGAAATGAGACTTAAGCATGCTTATGAGGACCACGTATGGATCACAAATAAAAATGGAACTTGTCCGGGATTCTAATTTGAAATGACTTTTGCCCACATAAGTTTTGTTCTTTTGTTCCTTCCAATCTCAATGGAATTTGGATCAAATATTTAATTTTGTTCCTTTAGGGTAATAAAAGTTTATATTCCTTTTGCCTTTAATGCTTTCGGTTACCTATGTGTTTATGTGTTGAATGTCTACGAAATTGATTGGTAACACGTTGAATAGGATCATTATAAAAAATACGCTTACTTTGCTATATATACTTTAAATCATATCTTTTTACATCATTTTTCATGTAAAATTTGTGACCATCGTGGCCTATTTAAGGATCATACAGGTCACACCGTTAAATTACATGATGATTATACTAGTTACATTGGTCACACCGTTAAAATTATATGATTAGTGTGATCATTATTTGCTGATCACACTGGTCACACAAAAATAGGTTAAAAAGTGTATGGGTTGAAAGTGCATATAACAAAGTAAATATAGTTTAGATATTATGCACGTTGAATGTGTGTCAAAATAACCAGCCTGGTCCGATACAAGCTCGAAGATTTATTGGTCGTGTCGACCCAAAACATGACGAGTCTAAAATCTTAAGCTTGAATCCCGATCTTATGAGCTTTTGTACGGATTCAGACAGAGTTTTGGATATGAACATTTTTAAAAAAATTAACGTATAAAAAATAAACTATAAAAACATAAGTCAAAACAAACCAAAAACACAAAAATTAAAAATAACCAAAAAACAAAAACTCGATATCAAAATTGAATAGTATATATTTTGATTTAAAAGAAGATATTGTTTGAATTCTCAAGTAAAATAACAAAAAAATATATATATATTTTTTCTTTTATGATTTGTGATAGTTTGTAGTAATAGAATTTATTTAAATATGAAATTATTATATTTTTCAATCCAAATAGTTATTTGAAATTAATGTATTTATTTTATTTGCAATATGTTATTATATATTGTTTGTTTATTCTTAGTATATAATCGGATTTTTAATATTATATCCGGATAGAACCGGATCAAATTTAGATTTGGTTATTATTCTATTACAATTTTAATTAGACATTGATTCGAACCGATTAAAGTTAAATAACCATTCGGTCATCAATTTTCAAAATCTGAATTAACCAAACTATTTGTCCGCCATTGGAGACAACAAACGTGGGGTGTAAGTTATGCGTGTCTGAGATGCAAAGGCTTTTTCCATGACTATTTTGTCTTTCAAGACAATCATGTCGGGTAATTGATTTCTAATTATTTTTGTTTGGTCTTTGTTAATGAATTTCTCTTTTGACAATAATATATTATCGTTGTACGATGAAGAAGAATAGAGAAAGACTTAACATTCATCAAAGACGAGAAAAGTCATATAAGAAAAATGAAAGACAATCATATTATATAAAGATTTCGACACCCTAATTAATTTACATTGGTCGATCTCATCCTCCCCTCTCTCTCTCTCTCTCTCTCTCTCTCTCTCTCTCTCGTTTTTCTCTATGTGAGTTTAGTTTTGTTTTTCTCACTAGCCTCTGTACTGTCTCTTGTCTCACTGTCTCTCGACATTCATAAGAAAACCAAATTGTCTCTGTCGTTTTCTGTTTCCTTTTTTCTTAGAGTCAACACTAATCTCGCCATTTTCTCAATGATTTGTTGAGTTTAGTCAAAACTGGGGATTGGTTTAACTTGTGTCTGAAACAGGAACTCATTGGTCGCCTGAGTCGGAGTGCCGGCCTTTCAAGACCTTATCTTTCTATAGCTCAAATTTAAGAATCTTTAGACGGAGTCTTCATCGGTCCAATCGTGAAGTATTATCTCCAACATTTAATCCATCATGTTATTATGTATATGATGCATTCACATTCAGAAGGGAAAACTGTTTAGAAATCTTTTGCTTTTGATTATATTAACAACAATTTGTGGAATGGACATATACACTTGAAAATGACATCTTCCTCATCTATGAATTATCTCTACGGTTGGACTGATGAAGATTTCGTAAAGATTCTGAGTTTTTTTTAAGTTGGATTCGAGTAAGTTCTTGAAGATCGTTAGGGTTGATATCATAACCTAACTTGAAGTTTACTTCTCTCGGATTGTGGTACGGCCGGAGAGAATGTATGAACGAAACACTTATCGGCATTGTGGAGCGGAAAGAACGCGGCAACGGAGATTGGATGGCGATAAAGAGTCCTACATTTTGATATAAAGAATGATTCGAGTTTACTCAAACCTGGATGATCTAGTAGTAAGAGAACATGTAAAACATATTTTTATTCTAAGTTCAAATCCGAGCGTGAGAATGGATATTCTCTCGGACTTTTTTGTTTCTCCTCTGAGAAATGTAGTGGGGAGAAAGACATAGTAAATTTCCGAATTATAAAAAAAAAATATTCGAATTTTCACAACGAGATCAGGAAGATGGGTGGTTTACGTGAGACGTGGTTTGGTGTTACTATTTTGGTCTCTAATTAGTTTTGTTTTGGCACCATAAATAGGGTTCCAGTTTTCAATAAACCTTTTTTCATATGTAAGTCTAGTTGCATTCGGATGTTTAATATATATATATATATATATATATATATATAAATAAAAATAAAAATAAAAAAGAGGATGACGAATAGGGACAGATTGGATCCATATATAAATAAAAATAAAAATAAAAATCCGTTGGAATTTTCCAACCGAATTTCCAACCGATATCCGTTGGAATTTTCCAATGGAATTTCCAACCGCAATCCGTTGGAACATTCCAACAAAAAATTCAAAACATATTCTCGATCTCGACCCCGGCCCCGACATCTATCCTGATACCGATCCCGATCCCGATCCCGACCCCCGGCACCGATCCCGACCCCCGGCTCCGATCCCGATCCTCCAGCTCCGACCCCGAGATACAGGCCCCGGTTTCTCACTAGCCTCTGTACTGTCTCTTGTCTCACTGTCTCTCGACATTCATAAGAAAACCAAATTGTCTCTGTCGTTTTCTGTTTCCTTTTTTCTTAGAGTCAACACTAATCTCGCCATTTTCTCAATGATTTGTTGAGTTTAGTCAAAACTGGGGATTGGTTTAACTTGTGTCTGAAACAGGAACTCATTGGTCGCCTGAGTCGGAGTGCCGGCCTTTCAAGACCTTATCTTTCTATAGCTCAAATTTAAGAATCTTTAGACGGAGTCTTCATCGGTCCAATCGTGAAGTATTATCTCCAACATTTAATCCATCATGTTATTATGTATATGATGCATTCACATTCAGAAGGGAAAACTGTTTAGAAATCTTTTGCTTTTGATTATATTAACAACAATTTGTGGAATGGACATATACACTTGAAAATGACATCTTCCTCATCTATGAATTATCTCTACGGTTGGACTGATGAAGATTTCGTAAAGATTCTGAGTTTTTTTTAAGTTGGATTCGAGTAAGTTCTTGAAGATCGTTAGGGTTGATATCATAACCTAACTTGAAGTTTACTTCTCTCGGATTGTGGTACGGCCGGAGAGAATGTATGAACGAAACACTTATCGGCATTGTGGAGCGGAAAGAACGCGGCAACGGAGATTGGATGGCGATAAAGAGTCCTACATTTTGATATAAAGAATGATTCGAGTTTACTCAAACCTGGATGATCTAGTAGTAAGAGAACATGTAAAACATATTTTTATTCTAAGTTCAAATCCGAGCGTGAGAATGGATATTCTCTCGGACTTTTTTGTTTCTCCTCTGAGAAATGTAGTGGGGAGAAAGACATAGTAAATTTCCGAATTATAAAAAAAAAATATTCGAATTTTCACAACGAGATCAGGAAGATGGGTGGTTTACGTGAGACGTGGTTTGGTGTTACTATTTTGGTCTCTAATTAGTTTTGTTTTGGCACCATAAATAGGGTTCCAGTTTTCAATAAACCTTTTTTCATATGTAAGTCTAGTTGCATTCGGATGTTTAATATATATATATATATATATATATATATAAAGAGGATGACGAATAGGGACAGATTGGATCCATATAGTGGGCTTTGATTTGGGCCAACATTTCGTGTATTTTGGGCAGAGAAAGGTTCATGCCTAAAACGATGTTAGGGTGGTTTAATATATATTTTATTAAGATGGGCTAATGTTTGAAAAAATATATATATTAACTTTGAAATCTAGAATTATAAAGTTGTTCTTAATTTCCAAGTAAAATATGAAATTGTGTTATTTTTTCATATTATCAACATTCAGTTAATGGTATTGACGAGTAGACGGAAGCTGTCCTCGGAGTTTGACGCAGAAAATCGAAAAAGTGACGAGGGATTTCGCCACGTCACTAAATTAAAATATATATATATATATATACACTCATAATGAGATACAACTATACATACATATATAACATTTTAAGTTTTTTGAAAAAAAAACATTTGTATACATAATATATAAAAGATTCGTCCTAAAGATCTAGAAAAAAATCTCAAGTGAGATATATGAAACTGCCACGATAACGTGACATTTGTCGTAATCGATCGAATCGTCTTGGAACTACAATCACTTGCTCGTCGAGTTTCAAGATCACGTAAAAGATATAATTAATTTTTTTTTATAATTAGGAAGTCCATTAGACTTTCGACCTACTAAATCTTTTTAGATCCGGAATCAACCTTTAATCGCGTAATTAATCGCACTTCCTTTTTTCTACTAGTGCAATTGAATCTAGAATCTTGAAATAAATTTATCATCTCAACCAATGGATCACCAACTAGTGAATTAATTATATCTCATCTCGCTATATAAAATATGATTGAAATGTGACAATTCTGTTGAACAGTCTAATCTCAGTATATGCAAATCTATAATAATGTATCATTCGTTGGTTTTCTCATTGGATTTTACTGTTTTGTATGCTTCCTCGTGATATTTTCCTCTACGGATCACAAAACTCGAAAACCCTTTTGGATGTGACTTAAGCAGCCATTGATTTGTGTCACTTAGTCTTTTAACTTGTCGGGACAGCTCAAAGGTACGGCCCCACGATGTTCACGTGATTTGCACGTGTTTAGACGTGAAACGCTGTGTGTTTTGCTTGCTCTCTGTGATCTCAGGTGCAGTAGCGAAAAATCGGATGCTTCAGTTGGGCTTTGATGCTGGCCCACGGTGGGCCCCCACCATGTTACATAAGCCTTTTACGTTAATGGGATTGGGAAAATGACGCATCGATTCTTTTTTTTATATAACCTGAAAATTCATCGATAAATCGGTCCAATTACATTTTTTTAATAGATTGAAAAAATCTATATAAATATCTTTCGAAATGAAAATTGACAAGAAACTTTATCCTATCTCTTAATAGTTTTTTTTTTATAAAAGGTACAAATATATTAATAAATAAAGAGTTCGTATATAAAATCGGTTAAGACCGAGTAACGTACAATAGAAAATATTCATGTGCCACTAATTTGATACCATAACATTCAAGAGAAAAACAACATGTTTAAGCAACTAACGATGTGAGAGAGCAATGTCATACCAATCAACTAGAAGAGCATGATCAATTCTTCGGCTGGAGCTGAGAAGAGAGAGTATGCAGTTTCGGACCATGGCGTTCAACTTACCGCATAGGGAATCTATCGTAGATGACGCACCTCGAAAGATCCTCGTGTTCCTTTCCGATCATAGCAAGTAGACCGAGCATTGTAGCAGGAAGCAATAAGGCAGCGGTTATGTGACTGGTCATTACCCGGATTACGTAACTGTTGCCTTATTGCTTCAATCCTGGTACAATGCTCGGTCTACTGACGTATCGAATTCACACATATATATATATATATATATATATATATGTCTTTTGTCATGTATAGGTTTCTCCGCTTCTTTAAAAGATGTAGTCGGATCAAAAATCCGGTCAACTTCCAAATTATAAAAAAAACAATAAATTTCTCAGCAAACACCATATCATTGGTCACACGAACTTTCCTAGGCCTACGACGATAACATGATATATAAAGAATATTCATATACGTGGTTTCTTGCATTAAAAGAAATTTTTTAAGTTTTCGAGATCTTTTCGAGTACCAATAGGAATATCAAATGGTAATAAGTTATATTTATCTATTAATAAGTAGAAACAGTAAAATCTAATCTATTTATCCATATATATATATTCTTATCTAATACAAATTGTATTTTTATTTTATTATTAATAAAATGAAATATATAAATTGCAAAAACTGTAATTCTACTGATGGATCTTTATATTTTAAAAAACTAAAGTGATTAAAAAATATGATTTATAATTGAGTTTAAATAGATAGAAAAGAAACACATTTTTAAAATTCGAATTAATAGCGTTGAGTTATGAAAATTAACAAGTTGAAAACAACATTCATTGTTTTTTTTTAATTTATGAAAAAACAACCTTCATTGTTGCTGTTTCTCAAATGTGTGCTATAACGTTTTTTCTATACTAATAATTTTTTTTGGATAATACAAGAAATTCACCGAATTTTCATCCCATCTACGCCAGGGTATACTAATCATTTGGTGATCATTAAATAATCCAATTAGCGAATTATGTTCGAAATTAAAAACAATTATATATATAGCAGAATCATATATTATTCGGTAGATTAAACGGACTAAAATACACCCAATCCGCAGAGAAACACAGACGAGGATGGGATGATGATTTGGTTCGGGTTCGGTTCGGTTCACGAGGAGTTCAGCCAATGGAAGAAGTTGGGGAGAGTAGACGAGTCGGGGCGATAGTGAAGCTGAGTGAAGTCGAAGAGATCGGACCAGGTGAAGTCGGGATACGCCCTCTCGAGGGCCCCACCGTCTCTCCCTCGACCAATCAGAAGATTCTCAGGTGGTCTCACCACTTTGGTCTTTTCAGGACACACGAAGAAGACCAACGACCTCCTCTCTTTCTCCCTGTTCACCACCGCCCTGTGCAGACAACTCTTGTATGTTCCGTTGCTCAATGCCTACCCAAAAAAAAAAAGCAATTCCACGTCACGTATTAAAAAAAAAAATCCGTTTATATCGAAATTTCACGTTTTTGTTTGTATTTATTGTATTGTCTTTTAGTGTTTGAATTAAAGAACCAATCAAATTCAAGCACTTGTGTATATATATATATATATATTCCTTTGAATTTGGTTTTATCTGTTTTCGGATTAATTATGACATCAATGATATAGAAAACCATTGACGTGATCTCACTTTCATATTTTAAAAGCGAATTAATTTGATTACACATTGGTCATAGACTCATAGCAGACAGAATTAGTGAATATTGGCCCCCCACCACATCCTCTTGGCCTCTAACATTATATAGTAAATCAACACATTTTTTAATATATATATATATATATATATTAAACCCTCTAATTAATATCATATGCTTTCTATTTATGAAAATGTAGATAGATAGATGGATGGATGGATGGAGAATAATGTAAAGGGAACTAACCATAAAGGTGTCACCGATGTTAATGACAAAGGCGTCGGGATGGGGCCGGACCGACTTCCACTGGCCGTCGAGGAAGACCTCGAGGCCGCCGACTTGGTCTTGATGGAGGATGGTCAGGGAGGTGGGGTCGGTGTGCGGACCGGTCCCCAACGTCAGAGTCGATTTGTTGCATGGAGGGTAGTAATTGCATCTCATGATCGAGCTCCCGTCTTTGAAGAAATCCCTCAGGCTCGACCTGTCAATCCCCATGCTTCTTCCCAAAAGCTCCATTATCGTTAGTGACATCTCCTTCATTGCTTCGCAATATTTCTCATACACCGACCTGAACAACAACAACAACAACAACATATCAAAGCAAATTTCACGTAGCCAAATGCTGTATATGTATTTTGGTACGTACGTATAATTCGAAAATATTTGAATAAAAATTAAAATGGTAGAGTAAGGAGATACGGACCACGACCGCTATAAATAATGACATAACAAAAAAAAAACCACAAATATTTGCGGACAACTTAGCAGTAACAATAGCAAAAATAAAAATAAAAATTTGTGGTGCCGACGGCTTGATTGCACGTGACTTCAAAAATGCCTATGAAAGCAAAAACGTGCACTTCGGAACAAACAAAACAATGTTAATTAGTACTGTTTTTTTTTTCTCTGTTGTTGTCTCTTGCCCGAAAATTTTCTTTGAATTTTCTACTAATTATCTGTATCGATAAGTTTTAAAAATATTATTTTCTGTACTGCTATATAAAATAAATAACTATATATTCCAAAAAAGATCCGATTTTGAGAGAAAAGAATTCCATTCTCTCGAAATATTGTTAAATCTTTTTCCTTATGGAAAAAAGATTAACTTGTCCAAAAGATTTTTTCTTAAAATTTGTTATTTTATGAATATCCAAATGACAATATATATTGCGGGAACGCGAAGTGGAACACAGTCAATGCTCATACCACATGTCTAAGCTTTTATATCATAGGACTTCAATTTCTTTTACTAATTTTAAACATTCTTACACTATAAAATAAATATTATATAAATTCGTATATAATTAATCCATATTGTAAACGAGATGGAAATTTTATGCAAGTTCTCAATATTTTTTCCTCGAGATATGATAAAAACTACACACACACACACATATACACATATATATATATATATATTCCTATATATATGTATAGCAATTTAGCAAATGTGATGACCATGACAATGATGGCATAAGTGTTTTGTCGATTAGTGGATGTAAATATTTATTATATAAGCAAGACTCTACAAAAGCCAACCCAAAAGCCAAAGGGCCAAGGTCTGTTTGGCTTCTACACGACATTGTGATTCTATAAGATTTGGTCTTATTTTGTTTGTCATTTCAAATACAGCAAATCCATTGTGCAAGAAAAAAAAAATACTTCTTTTAATTTGTGTTTGCATTATTTTAGAGATAAATTAGTCACATATACAAACATGCAAACCATGGTGAAAAAACAATACTATAATATTTTTTTTTTCATGAAATCCAGTTGAGTTCTTCCAAATTCAACAGAAAAATACAATATTAATCCCCTAATCGCTCTCCAATTAATGATCTCAATGGATTCTATCGATCGAGATCACAACAAAACAAAGTTATATACATGTGTGATATACAGCCTATGTGTGTGTGTGGG